TTTCTGATTCTGATTCTGATATAAGTCTGTATTTTATTCTTCAAATAATTTCTTATGGAAACAAACTAGGATTATTTAGATAATCTGTAAAGTAGATATTCTAGATAAGAATACTACAAAACGCTGACAAATTGCACCACTTTTACAGATTTTTTTTCTCGTACCTCATTATTTCTTTCACACTTGCTTTGTCGAAATTCGGCTGTGCCACAAAAAGGTGGAGGAAGAGTGTGTTCAAAGGCTGCAGAGGGAAGAACAAATAGCCAGTTTTTCTCAGTTCACTTTCATTTCACATGATCTAAGTAACAGCTTACTTCAAACCTTAAACAGTGAAAAAGTCTTAGTATGAGTATATAGCCATATTAGTTCTGTTGGTGCCAAAGATGCATGTGATCCTGTTCAATTAAAAACTATTAGCACACATAAACAGTATTAATCTTGATACAGACTGTGCATTTTTTACTCCTGAAGTGTTTCTGCAGGAAAGGTTCCCAGCGATTCTGCTCCACCAAGTCTCCAACAGGGTGATCGAAGAAGGAAGCGTGGGCCAGAATCTCTTCCTTTTCATTGGCCAGAGTCACAGCCAGATTGGCTTTCTCTCTGGAAGGTGAAGAAGCGTAAGGGGGGAAACAAGAACAAGAAAACCATATAAAGATGACACTGACACTTCCTCAGTTACTTTTACTTTAAGTTTATAATATTTACTATAATTACTTACAAGGCCAGATTCCACAGTCTATGTAAATAGTTCAAACTACTCATGCAGGATAAATAATCCACCGTCAGCTCCACCTGTGTGCTTTTCGTTTCACCAAAATACAGTTAAACACACTGCTTTCATGAGTGTTTGCAATGAACCAAATGGAGAGAGGACTTTTTTTTTTTTTTACATCTTTTTACAAAAGAAAGGGATCAAATTACTAACCTTTAGTTGTTTTCACTATTAAATTACAGAATAAGTAATACAATTAGATTAGTGCTAGTATAACAAAATGGATATCCCCCCCAAAAAATGGGCATCTAACCAGAAAGTACAAACAGAAAATCACATTCTAGATACATATTAATGAACGATACTAGGAAACATACACAGAATGAATAATAAGCCAATATGGACTATGTGACTATGATATGTATGAATACAAATCTCAAAAATAAGCCTTTATTTGCAGTCAACAATTAACTTTGGGTCAGTGTTACGTAACAAGTGAATTAACATTAACTAAATAGATAAATCAGATAAAACTTCCTTTGGCATCATCAGCATTTGTTGTTATTAAGGCCCCTTGGTGACTTACAGGTATTTACTGTGTGCCTCTATACAGAAAGCTTGTTCATTACTGTCTGGTCTCTATACTAAAAGACACTGAAATGTGTATTGTCTTACAGAAGATGAATTACATTGACCCTCCCAAAACACGCCAGAGTTGAGGGGCCGATGAGGCTGTCAATCCCCTGAGCATCCGCTGATTCGCTTCTTCTGACGGCCACAGCTTCCTGCTGGCCGCCGGCTGAAGTTATAGTCCTCATCTTCACTCTGTCAGCACAATCCCGACAAACAAAAACAGCAGCAGCCAAAACAACAACAACAACATCGACGACGTTAGTTAAAGAAACTTAGCCTCAATGTCTAAATGAACAACTGTTACGTAACGTTACCTGTTACGGTCCCTTGTAAACTACAACGTTTGAGCTATGAGCGAACACAAACTCTGTAACCATAGTAGCACAACGCTGCAGCAGAGGGTCAATGGGAACTCCAGATGGGATTTACGGCTCTTTGAAGGGAGTCGGATCTTGAGGAGCCGTTCCTTTCCAAGAGCCGTTCAAAAAACTGGCTCATTTTTTATACTTATTTTTTTTTTTAAGCTAGCCTGGGGGTTACAGAAGCTTATTGCATTCACTTGGAAAAAAAACAAACTTTTTTTTTGTTTGTTTGTTTTTAAAATATTTTTTGCTGTTTTTCTTACAATTTTTTTATTTTCCTGTTTTTCTGAGTAATTATTTTCCTGTTTTTCTGACTAATTTTTTCCCCTGTTTTTCTGAGTAATTCTTTTCCTGTTTTACGGAGTAATTTTTTTCTGTTTTTCGGAGTAATTTTTTTCCAACCTGCAAGTGACTCCCATG